TATAAAATTACTGTCGTTGCTACTTCATCACTGTAATGTTGCTACTGTTATGGATCGTCATGTAAATATCTGATAGGCAGGATGTATTTTCAGTGTTACAAATTGAACATCATTAAAGCATAGTGATGAATCACAAAAACAATATGTAATTGTATATGTTTTCCGACGGTCTTAAGGGTCCTTGGAGAACCGCTGCTCTAGAGGATTCCACACGGGCAATTACAGGCTCCGGTCCCAAAGAGGCGGGGTGTCTCACAATTCATTGGCCAGAACTAGTCACGTGACTCCACCCAAACACAAGGGAGCCGGAAGGCGAAATCTTAGCATCTTCCCCGAAGGCAGAAAGCTGGAAGGATTTGGTGAACGGCATTCATGACTGCAATATGGAACTCAATGGCTACTACTGAATCCGTCAGACTCTGGCTTAAAATTACACAGATGAGACTTATACACCAGTGTTCATAACAGCACTATTCACAACAGCCAAAAGATGGAAACAACACAAATGTACATCAACTGCTGAATGAATAAACAAAATATGGTCTGTACATGCAATAGAATATTTTCAGCCTTAAGAAAAATTAAATTCTGATACATCCTACAACGTGGATGAACCATGACGATGTTATGCCAAGTGAAATCAGCAGACACAAAGGGACAGATGTATGATTCCACTCTGGAATTCTCTAATAAGAATTTTAAAGCAGCCATCACAAATATGCTTCAATGAGCAATTACAAACATGATGGAAACAAATGACAAAAAAATAGAAAGTCTCAGCAAAGAAATAGAAGATATATAGAACCACTAAGTGGGAATTTTAGAGCTGAAAAATACAAGAACTGAAATAAAAAAACTCAAGGGCCCTGGCCGAGTTGGTTAGAGCATCGTCCCCATATGCCAAGGTTGCAGGTTCAATCCCCCAAAATTCTAGCAAGAAGTAGGCTGAGAAAACTACACAGCGCAAAAAAAAATAAAATAAAAAAAATTTAAAAAAAATGGGCTGCCTTTCACAGAAAACGGTGATTCAGAAGGTAAAATCAAGAACATAGCAGGCAGAGCCATAGAGGTTGTACAAATTGTCCGTAAACACATGAGATTACATCTTGGAGAAATGCATGAGGAAAATGCAAATCAAAACCACAGGGAGAGAGGACTTCACATTTATTAAGAAATATTGAATCAGTAACATGTACGATAACGTGTGGCAAGGATGTAGAGAGATTGGACTCTCATTACTAATGGGAGTGTAAAATGGTACAGTTGCTTTGAAAAACATTCTGGCAGTTCGGCCAGAAGTTAAACAGACAGTTACCATGTGAGTCAGTAATTTCACTCCTAGTCATATATACCTTAAAGAACTGAAAACTTTTGTATGAAAACTTGTTCATAGCAACATTATTCATAATAGTCAAAAGGTGGAAACAACCAAAATGTCCATCGATTTACAAATAGATAAAATATGGCATATCCATACATGTAATATTATTCAGCCATAAAAAAAGAAATGGAGTGCTGATACTTTATACAACATGAATGAACCATGAAAACTTTGTTAAGCAAAAGAAGCCAGACACAAAAAGCCATATATTTTATAACTTAATTTATATTAAATGTCAGAATAGGTAAATCCAATGAAACAGAAAATAGATTAGTAGGGCCTAAAGGGAATGGAGAGTGATTAGGATGATGAAAATGTCCTGGAATTGGATGGTGGTGATGGTTGCACAACACTGTAAATATACCCAAACCACTGAACTGTACTTTAAAAATAGTAAATTTTATAGTATATTAATTATATCTTTTTTAAAAAGATTTAAAAAGATCCATGGAGGCAATCCTGGAGAGAAATCAGACTGAGTTTTTTTTTTTTTTTAATATATTTTATTGATTTTTTACAGAGAGGAAGGGAGAGAGATAGAGAGTTAGAAACATCGATGAGAGAGAAACATCGATCAGCTGCCTCCTGCACATCTCCCACTGGGGATGCGCCCGCAACCCAGGTACATGCCCTTGACCGGAATCGAACCCGGGACCCTTCAGTCCGCAGGCCGATGCTCTATCCACTGAGCCAAACCGGTTTCAGCCAGACTGAGTTTTAATAAAGGAAATGTCAACATTTTCCCAGCTGGATTTGAGAATTGCTATGGACCAATGACTCTTGTGTGCCTCTCAATTCCCTTTTTATTTCTTTTCTTTTTTAAAAAAAATATCTTTTTATTGATTTCAGAAAGGAAGGGAGGTGGTAAAGTTGATTGTGGTGGCCCTGACCGGTTTGGCTCAGAGGATGGAGCATTGGCCTGCAGACTGAAGGGTCCGGGGTTCGATTCCGGTCAAGGGCATGTACCTCAGTTGTGGGCACATCCCCGGGGAAGGGGTGGGGGGTGCAGGAGGCAGCTGATTGATGTTTCTCTGTCATCATCGATGTTTGTAACTCTCTATCCCTCTCACTTCCTCTTTGAAATCAATAAAGATATTTTTTTTAAAAAGTTGATTGTGGTGGTAGTGGTGAAAGTGGAGGTGGAGGTAGAGGTGGAGGGGATGGAGGAGGTGGAGGTGGTGGTAGAAATGGAGGTGGTGATGGTGAAGGTGGAGGAGGTGGTGGAGGTAGGGTTGAGGTTGGTGCTGGTGTTATCTAGGCAGACTGCTCATGAGTTCTAGTCATTTGAGCTGGACAGAGGGTTGGACTGCTGTCCAGGGCACATGATCCAACCCCCTATAGTGCTCTCAGGGTTTTACCCGCCTCTTTCCAAATGCCATTTTGCTCTTGAATTCTTCACTGTGAATAAATTAAGCCAACAAATTCATAAGTGATATCTCTTTCCTGACCATTCCCCCTATCTCCTAAGGAACAAATTTTGAGATGGGGGTAAAAAAGTGTAAAGAGGCTTAAGTCTTGAGAGGTATTTGCCCGTCTGTATACAGCGTGCTGCGGGAGAGGTTGGGCAGGTTTGGGGACCAAAGGGTGCCAAAAGGCTCCTAGGTAGAAAGAATTCGGAAACAAACTTGTTCTTTCTCCCTTCCTCTCCGTCTTCAACAACTACCAGAGATGATAAATAAGAGACTATTTATTCCACATTACCCAAACTGCAGGCACAGTGGGAACAAAGAAGAAGGGTACAAAGCGGGTCCAAAAATCCTTGCTTTCTAAGAATTTGCAGTGAGGAGGGCCGAACTACGTAAGGCTTGTGGGAAAGAATGAGGAGTGTGATCCAGGTCAAAGGACAGAACTTGGTGCCGGGAGTTCAGAAAAGCTTACAGGGAGTCCTTGCCTTGGTCAGATCCCGGGCTTCTTCCAAGAGATGTTTGAGACACTGTACTCAGCGAACCCGACCTACTGCTGCTGTGGGACAGGGTGGACGACGCACTGCTCAGAATCAGACTCCAGAATCTTTTATTGTTGAAGTAGCAGAGGAATGCTGGGAAAAGACAGGGGGATGGGGGAGAAGAAAGTCAGAGAGTGGAAGGAAAGTGGTAAGCAGGGTGAGCCCCAACGGAAGTCCCTGAGAACCTACCCCTGTGACGGTCAGCCACCTCGCCACACTTTCTCGGCCCTGACCCACACCCACGTCCCCTCCCTCCCAGGGCCCTCCAGACACTCACCACAGATGAGATATAAGATAAACACCACCCAGCCAATAAAATAGCTCCACCCGATGTGGATGGAAAAATTCTTCTCCACCTCGTAGAGCCAGACATCAATCGGAAACAACAGGAGGCCAGAGAAAAGTAAGGCAACTAGGAGACAGGAAGCAGCAGGGTCATTGCCACCCACGGATCCCATAAGGACTCTTCCTCCTCTGCGGTGCCATCGCCACAAACCACGACTCCCATGAGCGCACACAGAGTCCATGGCCCCAGAGGCTCCTGGGAATCAACCCCTCACTTCCACCTCTCTAGTGACCAGGAAATGATGGAAATCCATTTCCAGCAACAACCACCAGTTCTACCTGTTCTGTTTTTCCACCACCCACCAAGCCCCTCCCCAACGGCCAGAGAAAGGACGAGGGAGCAGTGCGGGGGAAGGTGGGGTTAGGAGACACTGAGGATCTTTCCCAGGACGAAGGGGCACCTTCACAGAAGCTTATGATGCACTCAATCAGGCCAAAGAAGGGCACCCTCTGCAGACCAGGGATGTACGGCAGGTACAGCCAGATGGCGTAGAAGAAGCCCAGCACCAGGGACAGGCTGAAGGTGATCTTGGCCACCCCGAAGAACGGGTGCTCTGTCCACAGCTCAAAATTGTCTGGAGAAAAGGAGAAAACGGGGTAAACGTAAGGATCGGCAAACAGACGAGCTATAATCCAAAGAGCAAATCTGAGAAAATGCCCGGGCTCGTTAATAACCAAAGAAATACACACTTAAGATAACAATGAAATAATCACTTCTGAAACAGGCAACGGTTTTTGATGGAGATCGTTGGGTAATCCTAACCCTATAAAATCAAATCGCTCAATAGAAAAAATAGGCAAAAAACTTGAACTGCCATTCTCAAAGAAGAAAGTAAAAAAAACATATGAAGCTCAACACAAAGAAATGCAAATTAACTGTGATTGTTGGTGTTAAGCCTCACCCAAGGCTATTTTTTCCCCACTGATGTTGTTTGTTTGTTTGTTTGTTTGTTTGTTTAAGAGGGAATGGAAGGGAGAGAGGGAGGGAGAGAAACAGACTCATCAATTGATTGCCTCCTGCACTCACCCCAGCCTGGGGCAGGGATCAAACCTGCAACCCAGCTACATGCCCTTGACCAGGAATCAAACCTGCAACTGTTCTGTGGGTAGGCCGTCGCTCTAACCATTGAGTCCACCAGCCAGGGCAAAATGTGCTTTTAAAAATCTATTAAATTAGAAAAGATCAAGACAAAAGTGATGATATCTAGTGTAGGAAAGGATTTAGAAGAAAGAAGTACTATCACATACTACTAGTAGGCAGCATTTCTAGTAAGTGATATGGCATAAAATAAAAAGAAAATAAAACAACAAAAAAACACCCTAAACTGTTAAGCCCTTTGACCCAGAAATGTTTCTTTTTGGAATTTACATTAAGGAAATCATCCAAGATCACACTATAAAGTATATATAGAGATCTTTGCAGAGATATTTAAACGTACAAGAGATTTGTTAAATAAATTTAAGTGTACCCACACATTGCATTAAAAAGTCTGACCACACTGAGTATTGGCAAAGGACATGGAAGAGCTGAAACTCTCACTGCTGTTGGGAATGTAAAATGGACTGAAGGGTCCCAGGTTCGATTCCGGTCAAGGGCATATACCTCAGTTGCAGGATCTGTCTCACAGACCTGGTTGGGGAGTGTGTGTGCAAAGGTAAGCAATCAATGTGTCTCTCTCACATTGATGTTCCTCTGTCTCTCCCTCCCTCCCTTCCATTCTCTCTAAAAATCAATGGGGAAAAATCCTCAGGTGATGATTAACAAACAAAATGATGATAAGACAGCTGATTGTCTTTGAATAGAGTGTTTCTAGGAAGAAAGGAGAAACAGGAGGCTCCCTTCACTATATAATCTTCTGCATGTTTTGAATTTTCACTCTGTGTATATACTACCTAAGCAGATAAATTGTAAACATAGGTGATGCTATAGGATAATTATTTAATGATATAAGTAAATGCTCACAACTGAAAAGTGGAGTTTGCAGCACAGGGCATGTAGAATGATTACAATTTTTTAAAATAATAGACATTTATTAAAATAAAATAATACATGTGAAACCTATATAATTTTATTAACCAACGTTGACCCAATAAATGCAATAAAAAGTAAAGTAAAATAAATATATATCTATATTTCTGTATGTATTTTATGTATATACTAGAGGCCCGTTTCAGGAAGATTCCTGCAAGAATAGGGCTTCCTCGGGCCAATCGTGCTGCCAAGCTCCGCCACCCAAGGCCGCACACCGGGGCCCAGATGGCGGCTCGTGCTGACCTGCCTTGCCTGCAGTATGCAAATTATCTGCCATCTTTGTTGGCGGTTAATTTGCATATCACTCTGATTGATGAGCTTAGCGAAGGTATGGTCAATTACATCTTTGTCTTTTATTAGATAGGATACACACAAAGGCTGGAATTAAAACCATTGTAATGTTATTGTGATTATATCTGTGTGGGGAATTTTAGGTGATTTTTATTTTATTTTTTAAACTTTCTGTATCTCCCACAATAACTATGCAATGTTTTTTTTTTTAATTAAAAGCTACACAATTATTTTTAAATGTATATATTTAAAGAATAGTTTATTGATTTTTAGAAAGAGAGGAAGGGAGAAAGACATAGAAACATTTATGTGAGCACAACATTAATCAACTGCCTCCTGCACCACCCCAGGGTGATCTAGCCTAAAACCCAGGCATATGCCCTTGACCAGGAATCAAAACAGCAATGTCCTGGTACACAGGACAACACCCAATCAATTGAGCCACACCAGCCACGACTAAATATATATGTTTAAATATATATGTATAATTAAAGTTAATAGTCATTGCTAGCAAAGATACAAGGAAACAAGGCTTCTCATACATTATTAGTGGAAGTATAAATAGCTCTCATACTTTTTGAAAACAACATGGAAAATATTATTAAAAGCCTTAAAATATTCATACTATTTGACCCAGGAAACCCACTTTGGGAAATCTATACCAAAGAATTAATATTAAACACAGTAAAAACTTTATTTTGTTGCTTCCATTTTCCTCAAGTGTAAAGAAAGAAATGCATTTGCCAAGAATAAGAAAATAAAATAGTCAAGTAAGAGGTGATAAATTTATTAAGTTGAACATTATAGTTACTTATAAGAAGAAAATGTTTATTATATTGCATAAAGATAAATTTTAAAATAATATAAATTAAAAAATAAAAGATATAAAATTATTTAGAAAAATAAATACATCTAGGTATGAGTCATATAAAACATGTTCAATTTTTCTTTAAAGCCTAGAAAAAATTGGGTGCTCAACACACTGCTACTAGTGGCTGCCTTTGAGCAGCACTACGGAGCAAGTTGGGTGCTTACACTAGTTTTGGAGCCAGACACACCTGAGTTATAATTGCAAACATGCCATTATTAGGTTGATCCATACGAATTTGCTCTTTTTTGTAGGTGAAAAGCAGTCAAATATTGTCCATTTCATGTGATTAAACCTAATAGCTTTATGACCCTGAGCAAGGTACTTAATTTGAGTCTCAATTTTTTCATCTATAAAATAAGAATAATTGCCCCATCAGGTTTGAGGATTCAATTAACTAAATAAAATAAGTGTATAATAAATAATAGCTTTTGTTTCCCCAAATGTATCATAATGAGGGTGTATTACTTTCATAATGGAAGAAAATAATAGCAATGTGACTTTAAAATATATATGTGTGTGTGTATATATATATATTTATACACACACACACACACACACACACACATATGCACACATGTAAATATTA